ACTAGGACTTGGGGTTGCCTAATGAAATTAATGACTAGTTGGATCAGGACTAGCAAAAGAAAATATTCCTGCACACATGCGTAATTAATTATAGTGTGTGGTGCCACAAAGAATGGTTATGGCCATTAACTTAATACTTTTAAAAGGGTATTAAATTCAAATATCTGTCTATTAAAAGGTACTAACTATGATAGCAAAAGGGACCCTCTGCAGTCACAGGCAATATACTGGATAATATCAATTGGGTGGAGGGAAAAAAACCCTATAGGTAAATAGCCTTCTTCTTGCTCCCTTGCTCGTGGACTTCCCATGAACATCTGGTTGGCTGAACTAGATGACTTTTCCCAACGGGGACAAACAGGATGCTGGACTAGATGGCCTTTCGTCTAATCCAACAGGGCTCTTGTGTTCTGTTTTACCATTCCACAATGAAGAATCCAGGCGGCAATTTCCCCTCCATTTATCTGTGCCAATCTGAATGAACATGAAATTTGATCTACTCTTTTAATTGTTGCTTAAGCTTTGGTAATGTATTGCCTACATATAAAATATTCATGCAGTAATTAGCTCTTGTGCCATGATGTTCTTCATTTCTTACCACTCTGCTCTATGACGCATCCGAGAAGAATTCTTGTCATTCTAGGTTTGACTTTGGGAATTAATTGTTTCAGCTAACTGGGACAAGCTGTCTTTGAATTCAATGCCTCAATTGTACTGAACTTTTCAGAAGCACAATCTATGTTCAGGGTTATCCATAATTACACATGGCTGCTCTTTATTCATCAGATTCTAATAAGCGGAAGCTTGAAAACTCAGCCAGGTGTTGCAGAAGTAAGTCTGGGGGGGGGGGGGGGGGGGGGGTGAGACAGGATGATTTGAAATGGAAGAATCCTCTGCAGCATCCATCTACCAAAAGTGGAGCCCTAGATGGAAAGGAACCCACAGTGTAGTGTTCGGTGGAGGTATACGCCAATGACAATGTCACTCCCTTAAAAATATCTTCTATAGATATAGAAGCACTCTTTCAAAGATGCACTGCGATCCCTTGAAGAGGCTGCTTCTGCACCACTCTTAAGCTGCATAAAAACAATCCCTTACCCAGCTAGACAATGAAGCCTTAAATAACTTTTACCCATGAACGACACCTGGAAGGACACGGATCAGAGCTTCTGATTTTTGCACTCCTGCTGTTCTGTCCAGGCAGAATCCAAAGGCCTCCTAATGTCCAACTTTATGCCATATATGGCTGGGCTGAGACAAAATGATGCAAGTACCATCTCTTGCAAGTAGTGGGAAACTGAATTAATGTTGGGCATAATGGCCAGGTCCAGGTAGAGGACCAATTTGTCCCCATGGAAACACACACATCTGGGTTGGACAACAGTGTTGTCATCTCTGAGATCCTACACGCCAAAGTGACGGCTGCTACAAAGGCTGTCTTAAGGTGAGATAAGGGCGACTGTGGCCCTTGGTTTAAGAGAGGATTGTAAGCAGCCAGTTCAGATTGCATGTGGGAACTTTGTGGATTATTGGCAGATTCATCAAAGCCTCTTCCTTAAAGATGCAGAGGAAGCTATGTCCCCCCAGCCCAGGGTGTTCCCTCCACAATTTCTCTCAGCCCCTTCTGCTCAGTCATTAGGAAATCAAGCAGATTATCTTCAACTAGAGGTAGAAGATTAAGTACTTGGGCAATAGGTCCTTGCACTCTAGGCACATGCAGATCCAGGAACCAGGTGTACTGTGACCAATGTGAGCCAGTTTGATGTAGTGGTTAAGTGCACGGACTCTAATCTGGGAGAACCGGGTTTGATTCCCCACTCCTCCACTTGCACCTGGCTGGATGACCTTGGGCAAGCCATAGTTCTGGCACAGCTGTCCTTGAAAAAGAGCAGTTTCTGTAAGAGCTCTCTCAGCTCCACCTACCTCACAGGGTGTCTGTTGTGGGGAGGGGAAGGGAAAGGAGTTTGTAAGCCGCTCTGAGACACCTTTGGGTAGTGAAGGGCAGGGTATAAATCCAATCTCTTCTTCTTCTTCTTCAGCTCCTTCATCCTCCTAAGAATCCTCAAGATTAGGTCAATCAGCAAAAACATACACCAGCCCTTCTAGCCAAATATCCAATACGGTTTCTGCTCCCTCAGTCTTGGGGTGTGTTATTCTGCTATCTGTGTGCTTTCTGTAGTAACATAATGTGTCTACTGTTGGTACACCAAAGTGTCACTTGTGTTAAGGGTCCACTCAAAGCTCTGGATGGATATCCTGCTCTGCTAGCCTTTTGGTCACATCCCTTAAAAGAGTGGCCTGGAATGACTACAAGTTGTTCTATTGCACTTTGTGGTGGACAAAGGACAACTGCACGGCCTCATGTAAACAGATAACGCTGCTTCTAGTGAGTTAGATCACTGGCCTACCAAGGTTAACACTGTCAATACAGCCTGCTCTGACTGGAAGCAACACTCTGTGGTGTCAGTCAGAGGTCTTTCACATCACCTCCTGCCTGGCATTGCAGATGCTGTACCACTGACCCATGGCCCTTTGCAGCCCTCAGCTGATATAAGCCTTGGTGGCTACCTTGTTCATGCAGATAAGCCCATGCCAACCTCAACGAGATTTCCTGACCGCTCTCAGAGACAGTTTCCCATTCCAGCCAATTTACACCACGCTTCTGTTCTGAGGTCAACCACACTTTGTAAGTCATCAGCTCTGACATGTGAGCTTTCCAGTCTGCCAGAATGACATCTGTTATCAGGACTCCCAGCCTATGGCTGCAACTCTATGTGCACTTACTTAGGAGTAAGTTTCACTGAGCTCAGTAAGGCTTACTACCCGCAAAGGATCCTACTGTAACCTTTTCCACCCTCTCTTGCTCCCTACCAACCCCAGAAAGAAGAAGACTTGCCATACGTTTCCTAACAGATTTTAAAAAATATTACACTCAACACAAGGTAGTTAATAGAAGCTCTTTTCAGACTGATGCTCTACATGGTCACCTTAAAGCTACCATTTTTCTTCCCAGAGATTCTAGAAGGCTGGTGGACAAGGCCACTAACACAGCAACACAAGAAATGTGACTGTAGTTGTCAGGTTCTAATGCACCACTACTATTTAAAATGCCACCAAGCAGCGGAAACAGAGATCTTGTCTTGTCGAACAGCTTTTTGGCAGTTTGCTAAGTCTTCCGAGTTAAAATTTCAAGATAGCTGGCAGTAGCTTGAAATTCCAAAAGAAGTCAGTTGGCAGTACTAATTCTATTAACAAAGGTGTTGAAAGGGTTCTGCTGTGCCAAGATTTGTAACTGGCTGAATAATAAACTGGGTTCTATAGTTCATTTAGTCTAAAAGATCAGATTAAGATCTTCTGTTAACAACAATCACAGGAGCAATCCTGAAAGCGCAGTTCTTCAACCATGTCACCCAACTGACGATTGACTTATCATGCAAACAATAATTCTGACACCAGGCCTCCCGCAGAACGCTTCCAAGAAAGGGTAAGTGAACAAAGACCCTTGAGGGCACTATTGCCAATAGTTCTGTAACAGCCATCAATGCACTCCGTATTCTAAATGCTGATAATATACAAAACCACAATACAGAAGGCCTGAAAGCAAAGCATAATTTGAGTAACACATCAGAAAGAGCTGATGTAACAAACAATGACAAGGTTGTCTCAGCCATTGCACCCTTGGGGGGGGGGGGGAGGCCAAAGGAGGAATTAAGTATAGAATAAAGAAATGAGGAGAAGAAGACATTAGAAGCATAGAAATCGGAGTATTAGATGCCTTCTCTTAGGTCACAGGGGCCTTGCTGAACAGCGACTACAAAAGCCTGCTCTCCTTAACAAGGCAGGAAACAAACTGAGGAAAGTGGTTGACTCCATCCAGGAGACAGGAAGCCTGGAAGAATTCTAGTCCTGCCTCCTTGATGGACAGATGGGAATTGCTAATGTCAAGATGCCCTCCCCCTCAAAGCAATAACTCACGATCCTTGGGCTCTTGGATTGTGGGGATCAACCCACTGTTTGCCAATTTCTTCCCTCAAGAGGGAACTCTACACTCTGATTTGTGAAAATGATTGACTACCAAGTAGGAATAGGACTCATTGTAGTTAGGTATTTTTTTAAGAAGAAAGAATTTCAATCAATTTAAATTATTTGCATATTTTCAGATTAAGAATTATACCTTCCAAAAAAAAAATCCTAATATTCCCCAGCATGAACCAAAGTGGCTGAGTACTTGGCTACAGTATTGCACAAGGGCTATCCTTTTTTAGGTAAAGCTAATGAATGATTGATTTTGCTTTTAGGCACTGTTGCCTTGATATTAATCTAATTATCCTTTTAGATTGTACTTTTTATTTGATTTTACCCATCTTAGACCTTGTTGGTATCTAAATCTAATCTACCCTTATATGCCATTAAAGGTTTTGAATTTAAAATATAACAGTTATTAACGGCATAGTTTCAAAAGGAGGAAACTATACGGGGGAAAAGGGACAAAGAAATGCTGGGAATGGTATGTAGAAATATTCCTGGAAAATGGGAATTAAGATGTCTCATTGTGTTAATATAGCAGAGAACAATTTAAAATAATTTCCCAGTGTATTCCACCACAGCTAAAACAGATGGACATTGAGGACAGATGGGAAATTTTAGAGACGTAGCTATTCTAAAGGAGATTTTTTTCCCACATCTGATGCTGGTCAGTTTAAGGCTTATGACTTGTCAGCTTTCTATGAAACCTGCTGGCATTTTGAGATTGTCCCTTACCCATGTAGCTGCCATTTTTTCTGACAGGCCTTACTTCCATGGCAGTCATTCTGTGATAACCCCCACTAGTGTCTCTCAAAAGTCCAAAAGTACCTACAGGCTCAACAGGGATGCAGACTTCTGAACTAGATCATACATACATGTACTTGCACATCACAGTTTTTCCAACTATTAGATTGCCATCAAGTGAGATAATAAAATATTGAATTAATACTATGAAAACAATCAAGCAATACTACCTGGTCCAGGTTTTTGAAAAGGAGGATGTCTTTACATGCATCCTGCAATCTGCACCTTTGCTCATCTGTTTTGGGATGAACTACCTGAAAACATGATAAAGCAAGAAATGCTGTGACAGAAATATTTAACTGAAGTTTAAGTGTACAATCTCACTGTACATCTGGTCATTGTTTTACTATAACCTATCATTAATACAAACAAATGAGCATTAAGCAACCCCAGTGCATTCCATGCACCTACAAATCAGCAGAGAGGAAAGAACAACATCATACACTTGAAAGTCAGCTGACACTCAGCATTCTAACAAGTTAAATACGACACACAGAGTGGAAAGCCAACCACTTAAAGATACACACACACATCACAGGGGGAGAGATTAAAAAAAAAAAGAGGAAGTCTGAAGAGGAGTTGCCTGTTCCCTCTCCACTCCTATGATTCTGCTTTGTCAAAGTACATTAGTTTCACTGGAACATCTTCTAACCTAACCTCCAGGAAGGATCAAATCCTAAACCTGCTGGAACTGCAAGAATCTGCTCAGCCAGAGTGTTCAATGATTTTATACCACTGCTAATATGAACAACATGTTCTTTTTCCATGTTTTAGGATGGACTCATAATCTGTAAATTTGAAATATTTATAGTCTATTTTATTTCACATTGTTTCTATATTGTTTATACTGCTTTGAATTTGTTTTGGAATCTTTTTTACAATAAATTACTTGCTGCTTTTTTATTTTTTCTGTTTTAATATAGTGGTTTTATGGTTTTAATTCCATATAATAATAGTTTTTCCTGGGCGTGGAACAGCGGTCATTGGGGTGGGGGGGAGGTATTTGTGAATTTCCTGCATTGCGCAGGGGATTGAACTAGATGACCCAGGGCATCCCTTCAAACTCTATGATGTTATGATTCTATGATTCTACTAAGCCACCTTAAATGCACTGTTGAAGACAGGACACTATAAATTTCCCAAAAGAATAGTGCTGACTTGTATCAGAAAACAGCAAGCAATGGGGGGGGGGGTAAATTTCTGCTTCAACAAGACAAGTATTAGGAAGCATGTAAAAATATGAATTTTCAATGGTACCTTTGGACTCTTCTTCCATATATTAACTTTATTTAAACTATTTTTAAAATAGTTTACCAATATGCAAAAAATAAAACAGTACTATTGCTTCAGTCACCACTTCACAGATATCAATTTAGAGAACGAGTGTAGTACACAGGAACAGAATCAGTGACATGGGTCATCCTACGAAATTTTAAACAGAAAATTTCCCAGTGCTCGAATACGGAGTGATCTTGAGTTGGCATATTTATTTTTAAAGTGTGGTTTAAATGTTATATTCAAAGCTCTATGTGAAAATTATTTTACTGAAATAATACTTATAAAAATGTAAAGACGATATAGCATGTTCTTCCCCTTAAATGGTTTAAATTTAAGGGGAAAAAACAAAGGCACTGCAAATTGTTGACAAAATAATTTTAGCACCTCCAAAAAATCATGCATGATAAACCATAGATGTGGCTGTGCACTCATCCAGTTCAACATAATTTTTCCATGGAGGTCACTAGGGCACTTTAGTTTCACAGTTACTCTCTGTAGTACCACATCAGACTCGTGATTACAATATTCCCTGTACCATGTGAGAGGACACATCTAAATAAGAATTTTAGCTTTGTTTTGATTTGACCTGCACAGCCAATCAGGAAAATTCATAGCCTGATGCTTTAGATTTGATTTTTTGTATTTGTCATTTTAACTCCCCCCCCCCTCAGTTTACAGATCAATAAAATACTCTTGTTCTCTTTCAAACAATTCTTAGGAGTAATCCTCTGAAAAACTTTGAAACTGCTAACTTGCCTGATATTTTATTGGCAATGGCATTCATTCAGTGTTGTCAGTTCTATGAAACAATGAATCTTTGCAAATGGAAAATTTTCCATGGAGATAAATAAGCTCTAGAAAATTTTCCACCTGATACCTCTGAAAAGAATACCATATCCCATTAAACTGTGCAAGAATCATATATATGGTTTGTTCATTCTCTCACCCTTGCTTCTGCTTCATCCTCTTCTTCATCTGGGTTAAATGCTTCTGCACAGACTGGAAAAAGAAGGAAAGGCATTTTTTTTTTTAGTTTTAAAAATATTACCCTGTACATAGAACAATGAATTCTACATACAGCGGTGTATGAATTAACGCTCTGGTGTATTACAGCTCCCCAACATTACTGCTCATGGTGAAATTACACTAGTGAAGAGACTTATGCTATTGTTCCAAAGAGTTGTTAAATACCCACCCTAAAACACCTCTAGAACCTGTGACATATGGGCATAGGTCCTGCCCCTTTCAGAAAAAACACCAATCCTCTCTAATCCTGTTTGGTGTGGAAGAAGATCAGCTAGCAGCCAATTAGGATCCCTGGAAGGGCTGGAGGAACCAGATGGGAGGGGGGAACGAGAGAGAGAGAAAACTGTTCCACTGTCAGCTCAGGCAGATAGGGTCTCTGGACCTTCAAAGAAAGAGAGACTGGAGGGATCCTGTCACACAGTTCGCCTTGTTTTTAAGCAGGCTAAGCCAGTCCATGTGTGGAGATAGGGTCTGCATTCCCAGAATGTTAACTGGGAGAGAACCAGTGTCAGGAGACTGTGGAAGTCTCAGAACCCGTCTTTTATGGTAAAGCAGGAGAGCCTGAGGAAGAGAATGAAACTGTCTCAAAGCCCTGGTTTCTGAGGGAAAACCAGTGAAAGATTTGTGTTTTTGATAGGAGCTCAAATTTACAGTGTGAGAACCCTGAGGTTGAGGGAAGGCCAATATTTACCTCAAGAATACAAACCTGGTTGCTAACTGTTCTCTATTCCCATAAATTATCAACTGTGTTATATCTGTACACAATTTTTATCCTCTTTTCCGAACTACCCTATCCTCCTATCCTTGCAAGTAACTAAAAGTTTCTGTTCTTGTTCTGTTTCCTTCACAGGCTATATTCAGAAGCCACTTGGGTTAAGGCTGTCAGGTGGAGGGTTGAGGGAGGGACCAAGTCAGTTGAACTCTACATCATGCAACCTCTGTTTAAATGTCTTAAGACCCTGGCCTTCACCCCACCCTACCAGGGTAACTGAAGTATAGCCAAGGCTTCTCAATCTGCATAATCTGATGCTCCCATTAGAGGGTGAGCTGAAAAGCAGCCATCAGGAGGAGAGCCCTGGTGAATGAGGTCTGGTCTTCAGGGCACTTTCTACTCGCTACTGTTCTGGTTTTCTTTGCAGTGGGGGGGGGGGAGACTCTGATCCAAGTATCCTGCTCAAGGGGGGAACCCCAGACACGAGACTTCGTTCCTCACTGACCACAGTATCCATACCCTGCATCAGAGATGCCAGCATTCAGTAGTGATCACAATATTCAGTAGTGATCACAATATGAAATTGCTGAGTGGTCGGGTTAGAACAGATAAATGGAAGTATTTCTTCACCCAAAGAGTGATTAACACATGGAATTCATTGCCATGGGAGGTGGCGGCGGCTACAAGCATGGACGGCTTCAAGAGGGAATTAGATAAACATATGGAGCGGAGATTCATCAGTGGCTATTAGCCACAAGGTATAGATAGGAATTCAGGCTGGGACAGGTGATGCACTGTATTCTTGGTGCTTGGGGGGGGGGGCAACAGTGGGAGGGCTTCTAATGTCCTGGCCCCACTGATGGACCTCCCGATGGCACCTGGTATTTTTGGCCACTGTGTGACAGAGTGTTGGACTAGGTGGGCCATCGGCCTGATCCAACATTGGCTTCTCTTATGTTCCTAATATTACACATATGTAATTATTTTAAGAAGTGTAAGGGTCTAATGAATAGTAGTCTGCTAGGAAGCAAAAATAAATACTACAGCTTCACTTAAACTGCATACAGGAAGTTTTCCAAATGGGATACAGTAGATTACTGATCATTCACTGCTTGCATAGAACTATAATACCACTATAATACAACAGTTACTAGGACAATGAATGGCCAAATCTCTGAAACACATCCACACAGTAGAACATAAGAACAGCCCTGCTGGATCAGACTAGTGGTCCAACTAATCAAGCACTGTGGCTCACACAGTGGCCAAGTAGTTACTCTGGAGGACCAACAATACAGAGGCCAAGGCCTTCCCCTGATGCTGCCTCCCAGAACTGGTATCAGGGATTTACTACCTCTGAATGTGAAGGTTCCCTTTAGTCACCATAACTAGCAGCCACTGATAGACCGACCAACCAACTGCATCTTGCTTGCCCCCTTCGATACTTTTCCAGCTCTCCAGTGTCCTTTCTGAGATACAGTGACCCTTACCCCACATAATATTCCAAATAATGCCACACCATAGATCTATAGTGGCATTATAATATTAACTGTTTTATTTTCAATCCCTTTCCTAATAATTCCCAACATGTCGCTTGCCTTTTTCATTGCTACAGCACAGTGGGTTGATATTTGCTAGGAAACTACTAAATGAAGAAGAACTTTTAGTCTGGCTTGTACGGCTTTGGCCTTTGGCCTTTCCAAAGATGGAAAACAGTTTTACAAGTCACAGCGGTGAAGAAACCTCTAATTCATCCATTTTTAGAAATGGACATAGGCTACAAGTAGTTACTTTGATTTCTTTAGTTTACAGCTTATAAATACATAAAAATCAGTTTTAAAACACTGTAAGGTTAAAAAATTGTGTTTTGTTAAAAGCCAGGTGAATCTGTCATAAATATAAAGCAAGCATTACCAACACTGACAAGGAATCATCAGACAAGCTAATTTATACACATGCCCTTGGTTACACTCCTACTAAAACAGTCCATGGGACTCCTAAATCTTTACAATGGATATCCCCTTTTAGTAATAAACTTTCATTACGACTAGATCACCAACACACTCAACTCTGAAGGGTCATTTCATTCCACTGACCTACCGCTACAACAAAAGGGGGTATCAGTTCTCTCAAATTAAACATCCCATAACACATGAGAGCTTAAAGTTTTAAAGGGTTTTGAGTGCTAGATTACAAACATTCTGTACATAGAGTTCTCTATTTTATGGGAGTAGACTCACTTTCTATCATCTCTCCCAATCCATTTATGTACTCAATTGTGCTTAGTGAGTAAGTGGCCTGCATGTTTTTCTAGAACTCACAAAATCATTTGCTGGTTAATTCAACGTTCAATAGCCTAGATATGACATTTTGTCAACACTCTGTACTTGTCTGTTCCTTATAAACTTGAATCAGACATTCAAAAATGTTTCTCCCTCTATGACATTTTTTTTTTGCTGGTAATGTTAATTCAGCCACAATGTGGATGCAATATTTTGTTATGACTGTGCACCTGTCTGTTCTTGGCAAATTTGAATTAGAGTCACAAAATCGGTCTCTTTACTAATTGGTGCAAAGACACTGGAGACAGGACCGCACTTCTTTTCCCACATGCAAACTCCCCACTACCACATTACCACAGTTCAGTATTATATCCAAGAGGAACTAACTGGCCCTAATTTATTATGTACATTCCGCACAGGGATCTTTGGTCATCAGATGGCAAGTTGGGCCTCTTTTTCTTTCTTCTCCCTTTTTTGTCAACAGACCTCAACTGAAATCTAAAGGAAGTATTATGTTCACCCATCTTTAATCCCTTGTTGAAATCTAGTAAAAGCAGCACCTTTAAGAAAATAGAGAGATTTCCCAAGCCACATTATAATGGTATGTTCATGTAGCATAATTCATCTCCCAAGACGTTTTGTACAGTACTTTTTCTGTAAACCATTCCTGTTTTAGTCTTACCTAAACAAGAAGGAAAAAATTCCTCTAGTGGTCTGTTTTTGCTTTGATACCAGTATTAATGTGATTGGCCCATCTCCCCCAAGGCAGCAAATGCTTTGAAAATCAATGCAAAGTATTACAAAACAGATTATAAGTATAAAGAGCTCCAAATTAATTAAAAACTCATATACAGTGAAATACAGATCCAACAGGTAGCTTGTCAGCTGCTGCATGGTGCCTTGTGAATCCCCTCCAAGTCTGAGGAAAAGCTCTGCTTTAGGCTTTTTTTTCTAAGGCTTTTCTTTCATGGAATTTTTCTGTGCTACTTAGCTGATAGTTTCATTTCAGGTCGTTGTCCAAGTTGTGTTTCCAGGTCGATATAAAACTTGGAAATACTGGGGGTGGGGTGCGGGAGTGTAACTCAAAATATTTTTCATTACTCAGAAGCAACTCTCATTGAAGAAAAGGTTGGTAACCCCTGCATTAAATGTTCTGTGTGTGTGGTTTAATTCAGTGCATAATTCAGGACTCTCAAGTGTCTGTCCTTCAAGTGTCCGGTTTAATGATGACAGCACGTAGGGCAGACATTCACAGGGGGAATTCTGAAAATTCTGAATTTTTTTTACTGTTACTGTAAGCCACCTTGAACCACAAGAAAAGGTTGGATATAAATGTCTCAGAGCAGCTTCCAATCACCTTCCCTTCCTCTCCCCACAACAGACACCCTGTGAGGCAGGTGGGGCTAAGAGAGCTCTCAGAGAACTGTGACTGGCCCAAGGTCACCCAGCTGGCTTCATGTGGAGGAGTGGGGGATCAAATCCAGTTCTCCAGATTAGAGTCCGTCACTCTTAACCACTACACCACACTGGCTCTCGCCAGTGAATTTAACAGCTAAATTCAGCCTCTGTGTCTGAACACCAGACAGCAAGGGACAAACAGGGCAGCACCATTGCTCTCATGCCCTGTTTGGGAGCTTCTCAAAAGAACCTAGTATCAAGATGGGCCTTCATCTGATCCAGCAGGGTAGGTTTTGAGTTCTGTGCAAATAGAAGGGGGTGATCCTGTGCAAATATATGGGGATGATTTGAGTTCTGTGCAAATAGATGGGGACAATCCTCCAATACAGTGGTTTTCAAACTGTGTTCTGAGGAACTCTGCGGTCTTGATAAGCTTATCATTGATTTCTTGGTAAGATCTATAACAAGGGACAACCACAACTAAAAAAAAACCCCTGATCGACATTACCAGAGCTCCTCCGCAATGTGTTGCCAGAGGACACTGCTGAATGTGTTACAGGTTTCATTTCCAGAATCAAACT